GGGCGCCTGTAGTCCCAGCTACTTGGGAGGCAGAGGCAGGAGACTCGCTTGAGCCCAGGAGTTGGAGGTTGCTGTGAGCGTGATGCCACAGCACTCTACCCAGGGGGATAGCTTGAGGCTCCGTCTCAAAAAAACAAAACAAAACAAAACTCCTCACAGGTGAAAGCAGTGGCTGACTTCTTTATACCTAAAAGCATCTCTTGCAGACTTTTCCCTTAAATCCATACATTCCTCCTCCTGTGTCAAGTTCATCCCCTCCTGTTCATAAACCAGGACCAGCAAGCACACGCACCTGTCCTCTGCACCCTTCTCCTTACTGTAACAACCGCACTGGTGTGTTTTTCTTTCCAGTTGACTGTTCACAGCTTTTGCTCGCAAGACCTGCTCTATCAGTCTGGGCCCAGTCAGCAGAGAGAAACCACATAATAATTCAACAGGAAAAGTTTAATAGGAACAATGACTAACTTCCCCCCCCCCCAGAAAAAAAATGACTAACTCCCACAGGGATTGAAGTAATGAAGAACTAGCTAGGGAGAAATGAGGAAATTCAGAGGATATGGGAATAGCCCACCCGAGGAGCTGCTACTGCTGGGGCTGAAAGCACCCGAGGAAGAGCCCCCACAGCCCGCCCCCAGGGGCAGCACGGCTGCACCTCACTGAAGGCCTGGGCAGTTACCGGGAGGCTGCACCAGCAGAGCTTGCTGGAGACTTGCCATCTCCCAAGTGTTGGCATGTTTCATTCAGCGATATTTAAAAATTACATTTGTAAATACTGCCAAATATCTGCTCTCACCGGAAAAGTCTTTATGCATTGGGAAGACATCAGTCACCACGGAAGATACAAGTTTTCTAAAATTCCAGTGTTTGCTTGAAAGCTCACATTTTTTCATTGGCAACGAATACTGTCAGTTGTTCTTGATGTGAGAAGCTCATTTTGTTTACGGTGAAGAAAATGTTGGGCGAGGTGGGTGGATTACTTGAGCTCACAAGTTCGAGACCAGCCTGAGCAAAAAGTGAGACCCCATTTCTACTAAAAAGAAAAAAGAAAAAAAAAAAAAAACTGAGGCAAGAGGATCTCTTGAGCCCAAGAGGTAGAGGTTGCTGTGAACTATGATATCACGGCACTCTACTAAAAAAGCGAAAACACAAAAAAACAAAAACGAAGCCAGTGCTCAAGTCTGAATGACCACAAGTTTTCTTTCCATAATTATTTCAAGTAAAAATGGTGTGCCATGAAAATTACGGCAGGTTTGGCTCACAGATCAAACAATTCTATAAGTGCTTTTCTTTGACACAGCTGTTTTTATTTATTTTTGAGATAGAGTCTCATTTTGTCACCCTCGGTAGAGTGCCCCGGCATCACAGCTCACAGCAACCTCAAACTCTTAGGCTCAAGCAATTCTCTTGCCTCAGCTTCCTGAGTACCTGGGACTATAGGTGCCTGCCACAATGCCAGGCTATTTTTAGAGATGAGGTCTCGCTCTGGCTCAGGCTGGTCTTGAACTCAGGAGCTCAGCTGATCCACCCACCTCTGCCTCCCAGAGTGCTGGGATTATAGGCATGAGCCACCGTGCCTGGCCTCTGACGCAGCCATTTTATTATGGAATGCAGCAGAAATGCTGTGGGTGTACTTAAGAGGTGTGTCTTTAAGGGTCAAGGGTTAATAACAATAATTGTCACTACTTACCTCACTTTTTTCCCACTCCTGTGAATGGGTGACGCAGCAGTGCCTCTGGCTCCAGGAAGATCCATGAAGTTCACTACTTCGTTGCTTATTGCTCTCCCACCATCACTGCAAACTTCAATGCAGTAACAAGACAAAAAACATGGCTCAGCGCCTATAGCTCAACTGGCTAAGGCGCCAGCCACGTACACCTAAGGTGGTGGGTTCGAATCCCCAGCCCGGACCCGCCAAACAACAATGACGGCTGCAACCAAAAAATAGCCGGGCGTTGTGGCGGGCGCCTCTGGTCCCAGCTACTTGGGAGGCGGAGGCAGGAGACTCGCTTGAGCCCAGGAGTTGGAGGTTGCTGTGAGCTGTAATGCCACGGCACTCTACCCAGGGGGACAGCTTGAGGCTCTGTGTCAAAAAAAAAAAAAAAAGACAAAAAACATCTTACTAGCTTTGACTTTGCAGATCCCTAAAATGGTCTTGAAGGCAGGAGCCCACAGATCACACTTGGAGAACTACTGACATAATGGAAAGAAAATGGGTTTTGAAATCAGAGTTGGGTCACATCTGACCTGGATGATACCGGGGTAAGTGTCTTCCCTCGTCGCACCAGCCTAACCTGTCCTCAGACTCAGAGCCAAAAGTCAGAATCCTGCCAGGCTAGACCCCAGCACACAGCAGACGCGTGGAGAGTGTTGGTCTACTCTTAAGCCTCTGATCCGACTCCAAAGAGGCTTATGGATTAAAAAAATTCCAGATCACTAACATTCAAGAAGAAAAGTCATGCCATGCCTGAGTGTTAGCCTCCCAAAGTGTTAAGATCACAGGTGTGAGCCATTGTGGCTGGCCTTTTATTTTTTATGCAGACAAGTGCAGGAAGTGGGGAAAGAGTAGAACAAGGAGTTGGATCTGTGACTCAACAATCGAGACAACTCTTTGCTTTGGGACCAGCCTCAGATTGACTTCTTTCACTGAGTTCTTCCACGTCTTTTCACGACACGGCAGTTCAGTTCTTTTTGGTGCTGATTAACATTCCGCGGGCTGCACGTAGAGCGGCTTCCCTACTCACGGGCTGCAGGACGTGTTGGCTAACACGTCATCGCTCAAAGGCCATAATTTACAACAGGTTCCACGTTTTGGCAATGGTGAATAAAGCTGCCGTAAAAATGCATGTGCAGATTTTGTGTTGACATAAGTTTTCATTTCACTGGGATAAATACCAAGGAGTGTGATAAAAAGTATGTTTAATTTTTTAAGAAACTGCCAAGCTGTTTCCAAAGTTGCTGTGCTATTTTGTATCCTTACCCAAAACAGACGTGTTCCTGTTGTTTTCCATCCCTGCCAGTTTTTGTTGTCAGTGTTCTGGATTTGGCTATTCTA